CACTGCACTCCAGTCTGGGCGACAGAGTGAGACTCCAACTCAAAAAAAAAAAAAACCCAGGAAGAAAAGTATTCAATCAGTAACATCAGTAACTGAAAAGTCATTCTGAAAAATAAACACCATGTAAAAAGATCAGGAGACTTTGCTTGGGAAAAAGGATTTTTTTTTTTTAAGAGCAGAGTTACACCAGTTATGGTTATAAGTGGACAGAGGTGGAATTTGATGCTCAAAGTAAAGCAGTTTCTTAGATCAATAGGGCTTTTGATCATTTATTTCAACCCCCTCGCTACACAGAAGAGGAACTGTTTGGTTTGCCCCATGCCACACATGCCACACAGCGACTTAAACACAGCTACTTAATTGCAGAATCTGGCCTTCTGATTTCTAGTGCCTCTTTGTTTACACTAAATCACACTGTGTATCTCTTTCTTACATGTATACTTTTAATTCGGAAGGAAGAAGTTGGGTTGAATAAATGTGAGATAAAGTAACAGGGAAAACCAGGGAGAGAGTGCTGCTATGGCTAGATAAAGTGGACATGTGTAGTATGATGATTCACTCATCTTAAGATGGAAAATGTGATTGAGAAATTGTTAGAGTTTGAGTCAGATTTTAGGAGGATGAGTCTAGAAATAGAACCATTTTGAAACCAAAATTATTTAGAGGTCTTTAAAGAGAGAAGGAAAAGGAATATAAAAAATAAATATCTTACAAAGGACTTATATTCAGAATATATAAAGAAATCCTACAAGTTAAAAAAAATTCAGAGCTCAATAGATAAATAGATAAAAGGATTAATAGGCACTTCACAAAATGGCCAATTACATGAAAAAGGCGTTCAGTTTCAAGTCATTGGGAAATGCAAATTAATACAATATAATACCTCTTTATATCCACTAGAATAGCTAACATGAAAAGGACAAAGAATGCCAAATGTTGGTGAAGATGGGGAGCAACTGACACTGTCATATATTTTTGGTGGGAGTGTAAGTTTGTAAAATCATTTTGCAGAACTATTCTGACAGAGTCTACAAAGTTAGAAATACCTAATGATATTCCCAAGATTCCCATCCCTAGGTCTATACCCAACAGAAACACAAAAGACATGTACCAAAATGTTCGTAGCAGCACTGTTTGTAATAGTCCCAAACTGGAAACTACCTATACGACAGTTTGGGAGAATTGAAGCAAATTGTAGTATATTCACACAATGAAATACTATACAGAAATGAGAGTTAATACAACAACATGCATGAGTCTCACAGTATAATGTTTAGTTAAAGAAACCAGGCAAAAATTATGTACTGTATTATTCCATTTATGTAAAATTCAAAAACAAAATGTTATCAATGGTAATTGAATTCCGGACATCAGTTATAGGTGGTGGGGAAGGGAATGTGAATAACAGGAGGATAGCATAAGGGAGGGATTCTGGGGTGTTGATAATGTTCTGCATCTTGATGTGAATCCTGCTAACAGGTGTGTTCACTTTAAAACAAGAGGCTTAGGCGGTTTCTTTTGCCCATGCCAGCTCCATCATGTCTCTCTTTCGTCTCCTTTCTCTAATAAACTTTGTTTAAAAACTCAAAAAAATAGAGGCTCAGACAGGGTGGATTCACTTTGTAAATGCCCATATTCATGATTCAAGCACTTGTCTGTGTGAATGTCATACTTTAATAATAAGTTTACCCAAAAAAGTAATTACTATACTTAAGAGATTTCTATTTAAAGAAGTATTGCACTAATAAATATATAGTAGTGGTTTAAAAATACTTTTAGGTTTTACCTAATAATAAAATGATCTTGTTTTTATTTGATTTTTAAACTTGCACTTTTCTGGCAGTAGTGATAGACTTGAATTTTTCAGTTCACGAGCTTTCAGTTATCTTTATAACCAAGCTCACTTTGTCCGATACCTGATACTGCCAGGTGCCGTGGCTCACACCTATAATCCCAGCTTTGGGAGGTCAAGGTGGAAGGATTACTTGAGCCCAGGAGTTTGAGACCAGTCTGGGCAACATAGTGAGAGCTCATCTCTACAAAATATCAAAAAATGAGCTGGGCATGATGTTGGGCGCCTGTAGTCCCAGCTACTCAGGAGGCTGAGGCAGAAGGATTGCCTGAGCCCAGGAGGTCAAGGCTATGGTGAGTCATGATCATGCCACTGAACTCTAGTCTGGGATACCCCAACTCAAAAAAAAGGGTAAGTTTAATGTTTTTAGTAATTATATATCTTAATTAGGTGCTTCCCAAACTTGTCTGAATGTAGGAAATATATGGGATTGTGTTAATACAGATTCCCAGGCCCTGCCCCAAACCAACCTGAATTGGAATCTCTAGTCTAGGAAAAGAGTAGGGGAATCAATTTTAAAAACATTCCAGGTAATTCTTATGATGGGGCAAGTTTGGGAAATAACTATCTTTATTCTGTGCTTAGCTATGAAAGACAACACAGGAGACTTAGATTTAAGTAAGTGTTCCCCCAAACATTAACTAGTTATATCACAAGCTGAGACTCCTATAAGATTGTGTGAAACCATTTATCCTTTGAGATGTCCAGCCAGATGCAGTGGCTCATGTGGTAATTCCAGCACTTTGGGAGGTCGAGAAAAAGACTGTTAGTACTGGTCTTAGAATATTGTGGCACTTGGACAAAGTTTTCCTAAATCATCAAATTTAAGCAATTATTTAATGATTGTAATACCTATGGATTTTATTTTATTTTGAATCAGAGTCTCACTGTTGCCCAGGCTGGAGAGCAGTGGCATGCTCACAGCCACCGCAGCCTTCGACCTGCTG